GGGAAGATCCCCAGGAGAAGGAAATGGCAACCCACTCCAGTGTTCTCGCCTGCAGAATTCCATGGACAGAGGAGCCTGGCAGGCTACAGTTCATGGGATCGCAAAGAGTTGGACACAACTGAGTGACTAACACTTTCTTTCTCTGAAAGAAAATAAAAGAAACTACATAGTTTGACTTTCAAATTTCTTTAAACGTAAGGTGAAATTTTACAAATATGAAATAAAGATAAATTCTGATAATTTCAGGACAAGTGTAATGCTGGCCTTTGATAAAGTCCCAAAAGCCTCTTTTAAATAATTCCCTTATTACTTGTGATTTATTCATCCCAGAATGTATCTACATCAATATAATTGTTCTGCTTATCAATTTTTGAAAACTTTAACATCACTGCACAGGCAGTATTTATTACAGGACAATAAAGAGCAGGTTTCATTTAATACCAAAGAAAATAAATTTTTATAACTCTGCAAGTTGACATAGCTTCCAGGCTTAAAATACCTCCTTATGACATTACTTTACCTGACATAAGGTCCTTAGGCATCGTTGGCAGTTCTGAAGAGGCTCAAACATCTGTTTGGTGAGTATCTGAAGCTTGACATTATAGGAACTGCTTGCTTTAACCAAAGAAATGACATATGCCCTAGGATTACAATTTCAATCTTCTTAAAAAGCTCTGAACTTGGTTATTTCATAACCAAGCACTATTATTCCTAACAGCCAAGGCATTATCTAGTAACAATTAAGCTGCCCTACATAAGACGTCTTATTAACTCTTACAAATTAAGGTACCATTAGGAGCATTAGGGGTTGGAACCTAATTATAGGGCATTAAAAGGTCTTGGTGCTCTTCATGTGTTAATGAGCCAGTCAAAGTGCCCAAGTTTCTATCAAAGAGTATAAGGAATTTGTTTTCAAGTGTTATTTAGACTTTTTTTAGATTTTCAAAGTGGCTACTCCAATTTCAGGAGGCAAAACTTGAAGATTTAAATAATAATGTTAAAATGACAAATATAGCTAGCAACCAGCTTCTAACTGAAATGTGCTGTCTCATGCAAGGACATTTTTAGTTCAGTCGAGTCAAAGTTTAAAAACATATACACATTAAAACAGAATATTACAGTCTACTGAAGTCTGTACATGTTCATTAGGATCAAACAAGTTATTACCTAACAAATAAAACAACACCAGAACTTCCTTGCAGAAACATAAATGTGTTCGGATTAATATGAAAAAAAAAGAGATAAAGTGCACTGTCTATAAATTGTCTTTGCTTTCAAAAAAGAAAAAAATAGGCACTGACCATGTAAAAAACAGCTTTTCTTTAGGTAGTAGAAATGAATAGCAGGGAGTTATTTTTTAAATGTCTAAGTAACAATGAAAATATATAGGAAATAATAAAAAAATTTCTCTATACATTTCTACATTGCACACATCTTCAGAAAACTACTGATTTTTAAAAAAAATTTCCAGATAGTTACCCTTCCTTACATGGTTTTAACCCTTCTTCATATTGAATAAAAATGCCAAGTATAGATGACAATGTTTAAAACTGTTAAAAAATCACTTACTCCTTTGTGATAGAAATTTCAACTCATATACAGTAACTTATACTTAAGGTTACTGCATTAGATATTTTAAGATTATTTAAGTATAAGTTGACCAACAAAACAAAATAAACTATTTCTGACACGTATAGACTCTGACATGTATGAGCTCAATTTCCCAGGCATCTTCCATAAAAATTTTTGGAAAGGTACACCAGCCAAAAATGAAAATAAAGAAGAGAATATGAAAGAATCTAAGAAAGAATAGGACTAATAACCCAGCAAGGCAATGAAAAGAAAGCCCATGATGACAGCTAGGCAGCAGGCTTAATAATACAGCCTGTCCAAAATCAGTCATTCAATAAACAGCATGATAAACAAAGTTAACGATACTCATATACTCATATAATACTGTAAATGCCATTCAGTAGTTTTCAACTATCAGATTTAAGAGATAAAACATGATAAACAGCTATGATGAAAGAGCAGAACCTACACATTTAAATGTTGACACTACAGAACTCATAGTATAGCTGAGGGAAGCTGGGAGGTAAGGGGCAGAGAAGGAAAGAAGGGTAGAATCCTCAATGTCCCGGTTTTACACTGGGCAGCCATGAGTTACTGTTCAAAATTAATGAAGCAATAAATATAGTTTGAAGTGTAATACCTAGAGCTATTAAGTAACAGAAGAAGAAATGTGGTAACAAAATTGAGAAATGTATAAGATGTTAAATTTCTAATCTTTCAGAGCAGCGACTTGAAAGAAAAGAAACAGAGGCATGAGGCGCATTGATTACAGAAGAGACGCTACCAATCGAGAACTAAAAACATACGGGGAAGAAGATACCAGAAGTACACTGGGGGTGGGGGTGGAAAGAGAACATTACTTTTCATTTTTGTATCTTTTTTATACTTCTGAGATTTTATTTCTAAATACATGACTATTTTTATAATTAAAAAAAAAAAGTCATCCAAAATCTTGTGTTTGTGATTTTAGAAGGTAGACATGAGAGGGACGTATAATAAAATGTTTATAAGTTACTTGGTTTAAGATTAAATACTGTTGATTTATTTTCAAAGATTTATAGTAGATAAGAGAATAGCATCAAACTTTTAATATCTATTAACTAGTATTTATTTAACCATATGAATCCAAACATACATTCTTATGTTACTACATTAAAACCATGAGTTTGTTACAAAAGACATTTCCCCTAATCTCAAAATCATGAAGTTGCTTCCTTTATTTCTGAGGTCCCTTCACCCTTGCCAAGGTTCTATTTGTAACCTGTAACAGTATATAAAATAAGCCATGCACTTATAATACTTAAACTCCTCCTGAATTATAAGTTATGTATCTTTAGAAGATGAATTATTATGATACAAGATAGAGCTATTAAATATTGTGATCAAGTCATATAATCTGATTTTGTAAAAATTTCCTCACAAATTTAGGAAGCTTTCAAACCCTGTGTTAGTGAGCATCACTCAGTTCTCATCCCCTCCGATTCAAGAGAGGTGCTCATGAAAACACAGACAACACACCAGGCTAAGGAGTGAAGGAAAAAGTAAGGTTAGGAATGATCTCTGTCCATTAATATTTGCATTCTAACCTTTAGGAAACTCTAGGAGTAACATACTTATCCTATGTAATTTGGTTTCAAAACTGCTAGTTACAAATACTGTAAAAATTACACAAACATATGGTAGATGGATAGCATGCTATAAAATCAGACCAAAATGAGTTCAAGTCGTGGTTCTACCACTTGGTAAAAGTGCAAACTTGGGCAAATTATTTAAATCCTTTGAGAGTCTTCTAAATTAAGAATAATAACCAGTGTTTGCATATGTTAGGGAATTTAAGATGCTAAATCACATCTCCAACAGTACTAGATGAAGAAGTTTCCTTAGACTCTCAGCCTCTTCAGTTTACAGGGACATTCGTCAGCACAGTTTCGTGACTTTGGTGTGCCACATCACAAGTGATTAGCTGAACGATTTGTTTCTGCTGGCTGTTTCATCATTATATTATCAGGTCTCATTAGAGGAGAAGCTAATGTATTAGAAAAAACTCAAGTTGGATATTTCTTCTTGTTGCATATACATACACACATATATATGCATATATATATGAGAAATATGATAATAAACTCAGGGCAAAATAATTAGATAAGAAATATATATGTTTTAATATGGGCTCAGTCTCATATTTTAATTGTCGTTTTCATGTTTTAGTTTTGCCCCTGAGGTTTATGTACTTCACCCTATCAGACCCCTTCCTTCCTCAATTGCAAGCAAGAATGGCATAAAATTTCTCTTGCTCCATGTTCAAGAAAAGATTTTAAATGCATACAAATTAAGAGAAAAATGTGTTAATGAGTTTCAGTCAATTCAGAAATGGTATACTTTCCAGTTTAGGTAAGAATTGAGATCTAGAAAAAAACAGGATCCTAAATAAGGATGACACCAAAAGGAGAAAGGTTAGAAAAACAGCGGGGGAAATTGGTGAAAGAATAATAATAGTGGCCATATATTCAACACCTGATGTGACAGCCGGATGCTTTAAGTAAATCATCTCTTATACTGTGAACAACCTCACAAGTAGGTATAATTACCTCCACCGATAGATGAGCAAACTGAAATTCAGAAAGGTTAAATGATTTATCCAAAGTCACTTGGGTAGGAAGTAGCACAGCCAGAATGCAAACTGAAGTCTGTCTGACTCCAAGGAGAGTCAACTCTTCATCACACAAACTATTCTGGGAATTTAAATTTCCAGGTCATGAGAATTTTGTGAGAGGGCAGTCATCGTTCCCTTCAATTGTACAAGAGAAAACAGAAACGAGGTATAAGAGCACATTATGTCCTCGATGGCTCTCCTAGTCGCCCCTGGTGACTCAGCTGGTAAAGAATCTGCCTGCAATGCAGGAGAGCAGGGCTTGATCCCTGGGTCGGGAAGATCCCGAGAAGGAAATGGCAACCCACTCCACGATTCCTGCTTAGAGAACTCCACGGACAGAGGAGTCTGCTGAGCCATGGTTCATGGGGCAAGAGACACGACTGAGTGACGAACACAGCCAACAACATGTGCTTGATGAACACCCCCCCACTTTATTTTCTCCTATTATTCAAATGAATAAAATAAGAGGTCTAAGAAAGGAGGAGGGTGAGAGGGAAAGAGGTGAGGGGAAGGGAAGCCAGAGAATGTACTTTCTTAGTGTGAACTAACATCTGTTTGTCTGCATCCATTTCTTTCTGCTGTTTCTCCCAGCAATATGACACAGCGCAGACACAATCATGCTGAACTGCCCTTCACAGTCCATGGAGAGAATTAGGAAAAAAAATACACTTAACTCCCAAATACACACATTGTGCTTTACACAAGCCCCTTTTAAATTCTAAGAATTCCAATGTCACACTGATCTACTTCTGTTTCTGGAGAGTTCCAGACTTACCATGAAACTTTGAGGCTTCAGGATCATTCACATTGATAGCAATTAACTTCCAATCTGTTTCACCCTGATCAATAAGAGCCAAAACTCCAAGAATCTTCACATGAACAACTTCTCCACGAGAAAGAACCTTTAAAGAGAAAAGAAACTCAGAATCTACAAGGCTTTGGAGACGTTTACTTATATATTATAAAAATCCATATGAAAGATTAAAAGCACTACAGATTGAAACTTAATAAACTTTAATAATTAAAATTATTATAAACTCAATCATAAAGCCTTTTATGATACACTTTTTAGAATAGATATCTTGAGCCCTTTTTAGAAACTGGAATTATGTATAGATCTTAAAATTTAATGTAGTAGGCCTAGAAACTCATACTAAGCAGGAAATAAAGCCACGTACATCATGATATAGTATAAATCTGGCTTCTGCTGCTTGGGGGTAAAAAAAGACATGAGAATTCTTTGAAACTGCTTAACAGTACCTTTTTTTTTGCAAACTATATTTACCGGTTACTAATGAAAAGTAAATTTTTACCATATCTGAATGCAGCCTTAAGATAATGAATGACAATCAAAGAATTATGAATATGTTAAAGATACAGACAAAGCAGATTTCACAAAATGTGTTAAAAAGATTTTAAGAGAAATCAAGAAAGAGCATGATGTTGAAGCAGATGTTCCTTGTGCTAAAGCAAGTTATTTCAGTGGTTCCTTTAAGTTGCCAATACCAAGTTTATATGCATGCGTTCCTTCTATAGCCTTTTTACTTTTAAAGGTTTATTTGGCTATAGAGTTTCACTGTAAGCTGAAATCTGAACACATGCCTCAGAATAATTCCTTCAAGATTTAAAATGCAGCTTTACAACTGGAAATCAAGGTATGCAAATTAAAGTCACTGTTGTGTCCTGAAATTATTTGAGAGAAAAAAGCAGATCTTAAACCATAAAGTCAAATACATCTTTTCCCGAACATTTGCAAAATCAATCTGCAATCTTAATATAATCGGCATGAAGCTGAAATCAGTTTATCCAACAGATTAATGTGACTATATAAACTAAACTGAAATACCACTTTTAGGAGAACATACACAACTATATTGACCAGATTCTCACATGCTTAGGCTCTATTAAGTACCCAAGCACCATATTAGACACTATGTATACAAAAAGAAAGCACCTCCTTTCTTAAAGGTTTACAATCGTGTTGGAGAGACTTACACACCTCGTGCCAGGAGGTCCTTTATAAAACAAAAATGTTCAAAGTTATCACATAACCATCAAGGAAAGGTTACTACACTGGCTAACTCAGTGATAAACTAGATCACTGGTTCTCAACCAGTGGCAATTTTGCTCTCTAGAGGACATCTGGCAATGTCTGGAACACTCTTGGTTGCCACAACTTAGTGGGTATTATTAGCATCTAGTGACAAAAGGCCAGGGATGCTGCTCAGGATAGTCTCCTGTAACAGAAACATCCACCCAAACTGTCAACAGTGCCACAGCTGAGGAGCCTGCAGTAGACTCTGGGGGCAGGGGTGTCTATCAGAATTACTGGAAACCATATAGTTTTTAAAGGCACATTCTAAATTGTCTTATATTTATTCATAAAAATCAATTTACTCTGAAATTTCATATAACTTTGAGACTTTCATGGTTACAAGGACAAGCAGGAAGTATGTCTGGGCATTATCAAGTTTCATCAGAGTGATAATTGCCCTCTGATCTCACAAACAATAGAAGTGGGGGAGACAAAACACTGTCTTGCTATATATAACACATGTAAAATCTGAAAAGAAAATTCTCTCAATCAAAACAAAAACTCAGGATAAGATGCTTAGGGACAAATGGTAAGATTCTAATGAAGAGCCCATAATTCAATTCAACAAATTTTGCAGAACACATAATGTTAGACATCCAGTGAATAATATTTCTCAAAGAACTTAGCCTTAAAAATGTCTGCATCTGTATTCTAAGTCTATGATCAACTTCCAAGACTCTGCTCCTTTTCCTTTGCCCATTTACAAATATGGTCTTAAAAGAGGCTTTCTTTCTATGATGCTCCTTACAGGTGATTTAAGGACTAGCCAGGCACAGCCAGGGACAAGATAGAGGAGCGCAGTCTCAACACCAGGTCCTGCCTGGTGGCTCAGAGGGTAAAGAATCTGCCTGCAATGTGGGAGAGCTGGGTTCAATTCCTGGATCAGGATGATCCCCTGGAGAAGGGAATGGCAACCCACTCCAGTATTCTTGCCTGGAGAATCCCATGTACAGAGAAGCCTGGTGGGCTACAGTCCATGAGGTTGCAAAGAGTTGGACATGACTGAAGCCACTTAAAATGCACACAGTCTCAATCAAGGTCCACTGTTTAGATGGTGATTAAGTAATTCATGTTTACTAAATATTATTTCAGGTCTCATTAACTAAAGGAATAAATTGCTTTGGATATGAGACCTATTTTCTCAGTTCCATTATAAAACTCTCCATCTACTCTACAAGGAAATTAATGTACATAGCAGATACTGTTACTAATTCCTTGGGAATCATACAGTTGACCTTGTTTCAAAAATGAGTTTACATTCTGCAGCAAGAATACAGGTATGCCTCAAAATTTTACACAGAACTAGACTAGGGTTATCATAGACTGTTCTAGCAATTATACAAAAACATTTCAAAAGATAGGATTTTTAAGTCACAAGTATGCAGGAGTGAATTCTTGCTCCACCATTCTTTGAGGTGATTGAGGTCAATTACTTCACACAAGCCACACACTACTTCAGGACTTGGTTTCTCAACAGTAAAGTGGAGATCATATCACACATTCTTTGATGTAAAGAAAAAGAGCAAAGGAAACAAAAGACACATGAACTATAACATAAGAGGTCTTCTACAGATGTTAATTTTCTCTCTGGGATCTACACATAACTGCTCACACCTGTCAACTGCTAACTCCTGGGAAGCTGGAATGAGCAGAATATGACAGTGACCTACAGTGAAACGTCTATGTGGATTTACAATATGAAGAAGGAGGTAAAACTTCAACTGAACCCAATCAATATGAAAAACCATGGAAAGTAAAACTGCTTAAAACCTGTTATCCTGTGTATTAGGTATATACTTCAGTGTAACAAATCATTATAAATCTAAAGCCTTAAATAGTGTAAATTTATTATCTCACAGTCTCCATACATCATGAGTCCAGGTACAACACTGCTAGATTCTCTGGTTATATGCATATGTGTATGCATAGACACATAGTATATATTATATTAATATATAGTATATATGTTATTAATATTATATATAATATGTATACTATATATACTTTTATAATATATAATTTTATATAAACATACTATATATAATATATACTATATAAATATATACTATATATTAATATATAATATTATATATTATTACATATAATAATATATACATTGGACTGCAAGGAGATTAAATCAGTCAATCCTAAAGGAAATCAACCCTGAATATTCATTGGAAGAACTGATGTTGAAGCTGAAGCTCCAATAGTTTGGCCACTGGATACAAAGAGCCAACTCACTGGAAAGACCCTGATGTTGGAAAATAGCGAAGGCAAAAGGAGAAGGGGGTCACAGAGGATGACAAGGTTAGATAGCATCACCAACTCAACAGACATGAATTTGAGCAAACTCCAGGAGGTACTGAAGGACAGGGAAGCCTGGTGTGCAGCCATCTAATGGGGCTGCAAAGAGTCAGACACAACTTAGTGACTGAACAACAACAGTCAACATATTTTTCAGTAGGAAGGAACTAAACACCTGCTATGTACCAAACATTCTATGTAAAATACAAAGGAATGCTTTCAAGATTATGTACACTTTTAAAAAATAACTTACATTTAAGACCTTTAATTTTATTTTAGATAGTGACTTTAACAAGTTTATTCAACAGTCTGTACATCAAGTTTTTCTAGATCCCTTTGTTTAGTCAATAATGAATTAGTGATAATAAGTCAAATCAATTTATCAGGTATATAGATTTTCATGATTTTCAGTTACCAATCTCATTAATTACAGGTTTACTGTCAAATTTTTACATCAGTGAAAATAAGATATCTTCATTTAACCTTTTCACCCACTAAATATCTGCATAGGAATTTAAATTAACAACCTGCATTTAATATGAGCCAAGTGGCCCCAAGGATTATACCTTCAGAATAACAGTTTTCTAGGACACCCCCTACACTGTTGGTGGGAATGTAAATCGGTGCAGCCACTATGGAGGTTTCGCAAAAAACTGAAAATAGAATTGCCATATAATCCAGCAATCCCAATCCGGGGCATATATCCAGACAAAACTGTAATTAAAAAAAAAATACATGCACTCCTATATTCATAGCAGCATTATTCACAACAGCCAAGACATAGAAAACCTCAATGTCCACTGATGGATGAATGGGTAAAGAAGATATGGTAGGTAAATACAATGGAATATTACTTAGCCATAAAGAGAATGAAATAATGCCATCTGCAATAACATGGAGGGACATAGAGATGATCATACTAAGTAAAGTTAAATCAGAAAGAGAAAGACAAATACGATACAATTTCTCCTATGTGTGTACACGTGCTAAGTCACTTCAGTCATGTCAAGCTCTTTGCAACCCCATTGACTACAGCCCACCAGGCTTCTCTGTCCATAGGATTCTCCAGGCGAGAATACTAGAGTAGGCGGTCATGCCCTCCTCCAGGGGATCTTCCCTACCCAGGGATCAAATTCGAGTCGCCTGCATGGGAATTCTGGGATCAACAAAGGCAAATTATTATATATACTATACAATGAATAAACAACAAGGTGCCACTATATAGCATAGGGAACTATGTTCAATATCCTGTGACAAGCCATAAAGGAAAAGAATGTGAAAAAGAATATGTGCGTGTGTGTGTGTGTGTGTGTACATATATATACAAAAAACTGAATCACTTTGCTCCAAGAGGAAATTGATACAATACTGTAAATCAACTATATCTCAATAAAATAAATTTTCAAGAAAAGAAGAAGAGTTTTCTACTATATAACCTTTCTATCAATGTAATGTTGCTTAATTTAGTGACTCTTCTTATCACAAAATAAGACACAGGAAAATGACCAAAGTAATATAACGGAGCATTTATTATAAGGTAGAAGAGAGGAGGTACTCATTAAAATAGTTATATTCTTCCTTCTAATCTACGCATTTTATATATATTTTACTATCCCTCTGGAGAGAGAAAATGTCCAAAAAAATGCTCAACTATAGCTTAACCTGAACTAAAGCAAACAATCTAGCCATTCTTCTGCTGGAGAGACAGAGGAACTATAGAGTCATACACACACAAATGAAGTCTAGTCCCTGTCTGTCCTTATCTGGGTATAAAACTAGAAATCAGAATTGGATGCAGATCTCTCCTGAAGGAAAGGAGAAAGAGACAGGGGCAAGGAAGAGAAGAGGGAGGGAGATAGCAGGCGGAAGAGTATAAGGAAGGAAAAAAGAGGAAAAACAGAAGAAAAAGTGAAAGAAGGCACAGAAAATCTAAGGAGCAGATGAAGAGAAGGAAAAGAGGAACAGGAATAAGAAAGGAGAATAAGGAAGGAGAGGAGAAAGAAAGAGGAGAGTAACAAAGTATCACAGCAAATAAACAAGTAACAATGAATCAGAGGAAACCATTTACTAAAACAACATTCTGGAACCCTAAAAGTGCTAAAAGAAGAGAGTAACAAAGTATCACAGCAAATGAACAAGTAACAAAGAATCAGAGGAAATCATTTACTAAAAGAACATTCTGGAACCCTAAAAGTGCTAATATGAATTTCCAGAGATGACGGAGTTGATCTCAGCTAGAAGAACACAAGTCGAGCAGTATCCACACTTGGCATGTCTTTCATTAAGCACACGCTCTGTGCCAGACACTGAACTGAACACTACAGTGGTGGGACTTCTCTCCGGAGAGCTCACTGCCATCTGAGGGGAGAATGAGGCAAACAATACAGACAGCTGGTCCTAAGGAAGCACAGACCGAAGAGCCAGCGTGTTCATCTACGGTAAAGGAAGACTCCCGAGAAGAAGTGATACTCCAGCTGAGATCCAAGGATGCGCAGGGGGATGCACAGTGAAAAGAAGGGGGAAGGAAAACCAAGTGAAGGAAGAAGCGCGTTCCATTCTGCAGAGGGAACGGCTTGTGTGAAGGCCTGGACTGAGTGAGGGCAGACGCGTCACAGGAGTGGAAAGCATGGTGCAGCTACAGGGCAGCGTGCAAATGAGGGGTGGCGGGGGAGAAAGTCAGAAATCAGGGGACAAGGCCTAAACACAAACAGAGCAGGAAAACAGTCTGGTATAAATGATGGTAGGGAAAATAAGGCTCAGCAAGGAAACTGGGCGGTGATAGGAGTAATAGGTGCAATATAATTGAGGACTAGACAAAGCTAGCTCCAGTGATAATGCAAAGGAGATTTACAGGCCGTTTAGGTCACAGAGTCAGTACTTTAATGGGATGAACAGAAGCAAAGGATGATCTGTAAGATTTCTCAGTTTCTGTCTCAAGAATCCAGAGGTGAGGAGGGAAGGAAGACACGTGTCCTTCACTGAGAGGAGAAACGTGGAGAGGAGGAAACGAGGAATTCAGTTTTGGACACAAGTGTGAGATGCCTGGGAGACAGTCAACTGTAAATGCAGATAGCTAAGAATGTGGGTCTGAGCTGGAGACAGTAACTTGAGAGCAAAACCACAAACGGTTGGGACTGGATCACCTCACATGAGAAGAGCTGAACAACGGCACAACTCTCAGGCTAAGCAATGCCTAAGGAGCAGGTAAAAGAAAAGCAGCCTACAGAGAAACCGTGGAGGAGCCAGAATAGAGGATACGAAGTCACCCCGGTACAGCTGAAGTTAAGCAAAGAGACTGACAGGAGAAGGAAGAAGAGGTCAGAGGCGTAAAATTCCAAGGTAAACTCAAGTCATACAAAACATGTGAAATGGGCTGGCTGGATCTGGTTAAGAGAAATCTACCAGTGATCTTTCTAAGAGCAGTTTCATTGAAATAATGGGGGCATGAAAACAATTTTAAACTGACTGAAGATTAAATGGGAAGGAGGAGATAGAGATGAGTGTTTGCTCTTTTTACAAGTCTTCTTATGAAAGGGAATATGGAAGAAAGTCAATAAAGAAAAGTGAAAGTCACTTAGTTGTGTTCGACTCTTTGCGACCCCATGGACTATACAGTCCATGGACTTCTCTAGGCTAGAATACTGGAGAGGGTAGCCTATCCCCTCTCCACCGGATCTTCCCAACCCAGGGATAGAACCCAGGTCTCCCACATTGCAGGTGATTCTTTACCAACTGAGCTATCAGGGAAGCCCCTAATAAAGAAAGGGCAGTTTAAACACAGGACAAAGAAGAGTAAAGAAAACAGTGTCATTCAAACGGCAGGAAGGGACAGGGCTGAGAGCACAGGGGAAGCCCTGGTCTCAGTAACAGAAGGAAGGGAAGGAGCATCTGCAGCACATCTGTTTGAGAGCCTGCGGGGAAAGTAAAGGGATCCTTATCTGCAGGCTTCTAGGAGCGCCACAAAATTAAAGACAACACGCTCTGCTGAGAGTGAGAACGAAGTGCAAGGAGTTTAATACAGAACAATAAATACTGGCAATAAACGCGGCAGGAAAAGGAGAAAGAAAGTGAGTGAAGACACGCAGAATTCTGCGGGTCGCAGTAACCTGTGAAAGTGTAAGTTCTGTTTGTCCGCAGCAGCCTGGAAGCAGGCACACAAAAAAGTGCCAGCCAGTTCTCATCAGTGTTGAACATCCTGCCTGGATAATGGGCAAGGACGATGAAGCAGGACTCGGCAAACTTATTCCGTCAGAGGACAGAGAGCAAATACTTGTAGCATCCCTTCCAACCTCCTCAACTGCGGTGGCGGTGCGAAAGTGGCTCAGACAATATGTAAATGAATGGCCAGAGCTGTGTTCTTTATTAAAACTGGTGCCAAGCTGGATTTGACTAGCCATGGGCTCGGGTTTACCAACCCACGGTTTAAGAGAAGGAAGTAAAGATACAAAAAGGGACTGGTATGAGAGGGATAAACAGGCAAGAACTTTGAAGAGTTGAAGAATTGGTGCCTTCTGAAAAGAACTGAAATTTTATGGTATGACTAAAGTAGAACATATGTTAGAACAACAGTCTATGAAACAAACCTTTGAGCCTATTTCACAAACATCAATGGGATCATTATCTCCACAGCAGTCTGTGCTCTTATCTTTTCGATGGGGATCTTCCCAAGTCTAAAAAACAGAAGTAGGGGTGGAATATAGGTTAATACTCTCTATAATCTTTCCACATCATCATGAAGTTTTACAGATAGTCATAATCCAAGGGAAAAATTCTCAGAAATTAAATAGGCTCAATGCCAACATGGCAGTACATTCTTAAGCATCATAATAATTAAAACAGATTTATACTATTTCCTCCCATCTGTCTCTCATTTGTCTGTATAATCACATCTGAAAGTGGGTGGTATTTCCAAACACACTCTTCTTCCAAGTTTAGTCATCGTCTAAATTCATGCTCACTTTTATTTGGAACTTCAGTTCAGATGTTCCTGTTGTCTGTGCCCTTGTTTCTACAAAATGTCTGAATTGCTGCTTCCATTTTTGCTTTCTTTGACATGGTAACAGCACTGGGTCTTGCTTTCCAGGTTTGAAAATAAACTTCCTATACTTTAAATGACTTCTAATAGAACAAACCCAGTTTTCCCCTCATAAACTAAAGAACAAGATAGCATCTACCAAAGAAAAGAAAAATTCATTTTTGTCTCATTTCATTCCATTTAAAAGATCCTCCACCTTTTCATCAAATCTTAAGAATTTGACAAAAGCATGAAAAGATGTCAACTTTTTAGTTTACTTTAGAGATTATAACTTGTTGCCTACAAACTATATACATGGGCATTTTTATAAATGAACAGCATAACAGAAATTTATTATCAAATTTAAAGATCCCTTATGCACCATCCTTCCTCAAAACCCTCATGATTAGCTGATTCTGAATAGAACTGTACAAATTCCCTGAAATTAATCTTCTCAGATTTATAAGATATGCAGAGAACATCATCTCAAGAATCTTATCTAGAATTTCAGATTATCTAAGCTTGGCTCCTCTAATTTTACATGGATAATTAAAAAGGAATGCTACTTAGAGCTAAGCCCAATAGATAAACTCTAACATTTTCTGATTCTAATTATAGCATATTCAGAAATAAATAACTTACCATACCAAAAAAAAAAAAAAACCCACAGTAAATCTAACTACATTAAGTCTAATTACATTCACACTAAGTCTAACTACATTTCATTACCCTCAAATACTACCATAATTAATATAAGAATAGTAAACACAATTGTCAACCTTACATATTGGTTATAGGTGAGAGCTAACCTAAGTGATACATACATACATACATGTATACCAGGAAGAATGTGCAATCTATTAACCCCATTGTACAGATAAGTGAACTGAAGCACAGTTTAAACTTGTCCACACTCATTCTAAATGGTGGCAACAGGATGAGAACACTTGCTATTAATCATTATGTTACAAAGCCTAAATTTTTAGTATGGTAACTGAATTGCAATTACTTTCAGATATAACTTTATTCATAATTCTCTTCCTTTAAATTCTTTCTCTTACTCTCAGAATCTCTTAAGTGTATTTTCCTACTGTTGCCCTTTACTGCTTCTTATTTTCTATTACCAGGCATCCGTTCATTGAGTTAATATTTATTGATAAGCTACTCTGGGCCAGGAGTTAGGAATAGAAATTAACAAGACATACTCAATACCCTGAAGAACACCATGTTAATAAGTAGTGTAGCATCTGTCATAAATGCACAAAATTAATCTTAATGTGCTGGAGAAACCATGAAGGAGTAAAGTGAAAGTGGAATTAGAAAACCCAGAGGCAGAATCAGAAAACATCTGGGAGGTTCCTCCTGTCTAAGGCAGGAACCCTTTCCTGAATCTTCCTTAACCTCATTCTCATTCTGAGAAGGGAGCAACTGTGACAAGCTAGAAGTCATGCTAGCCTGAAGGACAATACCTAGATTCGAGTCCTATTTTAGCCACAAACTACCTAGGCCAAAAGATTCAGACCTCAGTATTCTCACCTACAAAAAGTTCTTCAATAAGACAATTGCTAGATACATCCTATCTCTGAATTCTATGATTGTTAGTGGTCATTTATAATCTGCATAAATACTACCAATCACCAGGAAGCTCACAAATTAACGAAATAACTTAGCCTACTGTGGTCAGAGTTAATTTTTCTACAAAAGTCCTTCTTTGTATTGACACAAAAACTGTCTTCATCCCCTTCAGAAACTCCAATTGCATTTTTTACCTATCAATTTAGTTCTTTCTATTGAGGAAATAAATACATACAGGCAAAATTCTTAACCTATAACAACGCTGTCAATTTTAGGACCAGTTCTTCATGATTTCCCTCACCAGAAAAAATACCATACTGGTTCTTTCTATTTCTAGTTCTGCATTTAGTGCTCTAGATCTTCAGGGCTTGGTTTTTTACTACAAAAAAAAGAGTCACACTAAATGATTTCTAACTTAACTTGAAAATACAGTATAATTTCAAGCAATCACCAGAAGAAATCTTGACAAAGTTAAAACTTGAATTACACCCTCTAGTGGAGTTTTAAATGTCTATTCTTAAAACTAAGCAAGGAAACAACTAGGAAAGCAGTCAAGCTAGCAAAAAAATATCCAGAAGACGAAATTCCTAATCTTAATATTTTTTTCACAAAACTGACAAAGGCTAGCATCCAGACTTTAAAATAACTTCTACAACTAAGTAAGAAAAAGCAACACAATACAAAATGGGTCAAAGTTAGGAACAGATAATTCTAAGAGGAAACATGAATGACTTATAAGTACATGAAAAGATAACCAATCTGATCACAGAAATACAAATTAAAACCAAAACGAGTTGCTATTTCAAAAACTTAAAAAATCTGATAACATTAAATACTCATAATTATGTAAGAAGCCTGAAATGCTCCTACTGGTAGGAGCGTATATTGTTACAACTTCTTTTGTAAACAATTTGGGAATACCTAGTAAAATAAACGGGTATGTAACTCAAAACTTAGCAATCTGACTCACAGGGATATACCTAGTAGTATATATGCATACATATTATGTATACAGAAAAATTTTAGCAGAGGATCCATGAAAAGCTTTTAAAAAAGGTTTAAAAATCTCCCAAGAGGAATACAAATAATGTTAAATTATTACAAAGCATAGCTATAAAGCTATAAAAAAAAACCTCAATATACACAGACTACTGATCTAGCCTAAAACAAATCTACTCATCCTTATGCAGGTATCTGAGATCATTACCTTACAATCTTACAAATATTAACCAATTCATCAGTAATCACCATGCTCTGGCCCTTCAGTCTCTCCAAAATATGACTGAATGGTACAGAATTGAGTACCATTCTTCTTGAGTACTACGTCCTGATCAATCAGAACTCCTATCTCCAAGTCAAGTAAGATCTGCTCAACCTCTACCTGTACTTCACCAGCTTCAATGTGGAGCAGAAGCTATTTCACTAGTAGCACCTAATACCAGTGGCAACAGTATCATCACTGAGATAATACCATCCAACACTCATTGAGGGGTGAACCTTGTTTTTGATCATCTCATTCAAATTCCACAATAACCTTGTGGGGAAGATGGCAGGATGACACAGATGAACAAATAGGCCTGGTTAGATTTAGTCACTGGTTCCAGGTTATAAAGCTAAGAAGTAGTACAAAATGAAACTTGGGGTCAACGAACCAGATTATAATGAAGTTCAAAATAATAACACAATGATATACCAGTAAGACTGAAGAAATTTTGAAGTTAGTGACTCCAGTCCTTTAAGATTATTCAGATTAAGTCTTCTAAATATTTACGCAGAAAGTCACAACACTTAAATAATATGTGGGAAATATGAACAATTAGGGGAAGACAAACAAAGATGATTTTTGCCCAGTCCAAACTCAAACTTTGAGGAAGTCATCATTGCCAGGGCAGGAGAAGATATTAGTAGGGTTACACAGTCCAGGCAGGGGAAGGTCTGAAATAACGAGAGCACACGGATGACTAAATGGAGAGGCTTCTACGTAAACAGTCTTCTGCTGCTGCAGTGTTCTTCCAAGCATGGTTGGCTTGGTAATTGCTCTGAACAAAGTTCCCGCTGTTCAAGAGGAATCACAAGAGAAGAGCAGAATCCAATTACCCACACATGCCTATGAACCATCTGCAACACACACCATGCATTCGTGGATTCATTTATCCCCCAAATATTTACTGATCACCTAACTCAGCACCAGACACTAAATGGGGCAACTGAAAGACAACAACAAACAAAACAAACAGAATCCCTGCCCTCATGAGACTACATTCTACCTAGAACACATTTACAATAAACTTAACAACTAAATTACATACCGGAGAAGGAAATGGAAGCCCACTCCAGTATTCTTACCTGGAGAATCCCACGGACATGAGGAGCCTGGCAGGTTACATATAGTCCATGAGGTCTCAAGAGTCAGACACGACTTAGCAACTAAACCACCACAGATTATATAGCATGTAAGAAGTCGACAGGTATAATGGAAAAGGAAAAAAAAATAAAGTATGGAAGAACGATGGAAGTACACGGGGTTAAACAGTAAAGGATGTTAGAGGCAGACATCATGAAGGAGGCAACTGATGAGCAAACACTGAAGGAAGGAGGGCGTGTGTACACTGGGAAAACATGTCCCAAGTGGGGGACACAGCGAGTGTGAAAGCTTGAGGCAGGAGTATGCCTAAAGCCTCAGAGGAATCATGAGAAGGCCAGTGCTGGGTGAGGGAGCAGGAGGAGGAGCAGAAGGAGAAGCTGGACATGAGATCAGAAACATAAATGGGCCAGGGGCTGGCTTTCAATTTAACAGGCTTACTCTGTCTTCATGTTGACAAGGAAGCAAAAAATAAAAATAAAAAATATTGGGTATGTTTGTTGTTATTTAGTATGTTTGTTGTTATTTAGTCACTAAGTTGTTGTGTATGACTCTTCTGTGATAGCCTACCAGGCTCCTCTGTCCACGAAATTTCCATGAAATTTCAGAAAGAATACTACAGTGGGTTCCCATTTCCTTCTCCAGGGGCTCTTTGCCACCCAGGCATCAAACCCGCATCTCCTGCATTGGCAGGTGGGTTCTTTTCCACTCAGACAGTTCGGTACATTACCTTGTCCATAAATAACTGGCCTAATTTCAACTTTATATAAACATGAATCAATGTAGCTAGTTTTGCTTGGTGTTTAACTTCTGTGCAATCTATGGTACATTTTTCTGCTGAGAACTCACACACACTCACACACACCACCACCACCACCACCACCATCATCAGTTCGGGTCTAAAAAGAGAGTAAAGATCTCTGGTTAAAAATGGCAACGAGAATACAAGTCCATTTCCTCTTCCTCACTCCCATCCTGTCCACAGTGGCCTCCTTTCTGCTACTCAGACTCACGAGCCCTCCTTCCACCTCTAGACTTTCATACCTCATGTTTCTTGATGAGTTCTTCTAAATGGCCTGGGATGGCACTCACTTCCTTAGACGCCACCCTCTCACTTTCTTCTGGTCTCCTCTTAGAAAACAGCTCCTATCTGAGGCCTTCCTCCCAACTGCAACAATTCCACCACACCTTAGACCCATTTCCTGTTTGATTATTCTCCAACACACTTACCACCATCTGACATGCTATATGTTTTTACTTTTTTTCGTCTGTCTCTCTGTCTCTTAGAATAAAAGTTCCACAAGAATTCTTGCCACTTTTATCACTGCTTTACCTCCAGTACTTAGAACATGCTCTGGCAAACATCAGGTACTCAAACACCGGGTCCTGAAGACATAAACAGCTCTGTGAAGCAAGGTGTGAAAATTACAAGGGCAGCTGGAGACGCTGAAGGTGCTGTTGTGGTGGGAGGGATGCGAGGAGGACAAAGGCTGCAGAATGAGGCTGCAGAAGTAGGGCCAGACCATGAAGGGCTGAGGAGCTATGTTAGCAATGCTTCATTCTATCCTTTCAGCAATAGGAAACCATTGAAAGGTTCTCATATGGACAAAAATGGTACTTTTGGATATGAGGTGCAGTATGAAATTTCAGTAGGCAGTGGTGAACGCAGGGGACATTAAGAACCAACATTAAGAGTCTAATTCTGCTCTAGCTGAAGAACTATTGCACCTAATAGACTAATATAATAGCATGTAAGAGCACCTTGAACATTCAAACACATCCAGAGGAATACAAAAATGTGTCAGGACTTTAAATAGATGAACTACAAAAGATGAGTTAATCAGAATCTATTATGCTCCACTGTAGCCACTAATTTAGTTGTTGATCATCCCACCTCCAGGAGACTGTAAATGCTTTAAAAAAAAAAAAAAGACCACATAATAGTAAGAACAGCAACTATTCTACTTTTCAAAGGTCTATTTATGTCTTCCTTTAATTCAGTGGCTTGTGAGGCCCTCCCCTCATCTCTCCATCTTCTGCAGACAGTATTCCCTAAGCTTAACAAAAATGTTCGCACCCTTTCACTGCCAGGTCAAACAGAATGTCTACTTAGGCACCTGGGAAGTCAGAATCCTGTGGTCTATTTCAACAAACATCCTCATTCTTAGCACACCATTTTAGAAGCGCCTGTTTTAACCAAGAATGTATCCATGTGGGTGGTCTAACTGCCATCAAAGGCAGTCTGACTCTTTAGAAAACAATTTTCTTTTTTCTTTTCCTGCAACTGTTTATTCTACATGGGCAGCTGGGTTTTTTTTGTTTTGAGTTAGATAAAACAAGAACCCCTTTCTCTCAGATATTTCCCAAAAAGAATCTTGGAATTTCACACAAAATATTAAAATTAATAAAATTAAAATATAAAAATAACCAGATAGACAGATGCTCTAAACGTTCTTATAAACATAAAGGCAGATGCTTCTCTATGTATCCAAACCTAGATTTCTGATTCTGCATATTGTGAGTTTTACTCACTAAATTATCTGGAAGAAGTTACCACTTCCTAGGAATGAGGAAATATGGGAAGAAAAAAAAAGAAGAAAAAAGGAATAAAAGCAAATAGTAAGTGTTACTCTCTAATAGGAATGCTGCTTTACCATCACTTAACCATTGTTTTCATTGCTTCCTACTGAAAAATCATAAATTTTTAATAGTATATAATTAAGTTGCCTTATTCAATTCACAATGAGTTCTGAAAGAGGTATCAATTTAATAGGTTCATCTGTTAAAGTTTAAAAAATAAAATTCATGCTGTCATGTATGAATGTATATAAAAGCATAACTTGTCATATCCAAAAAAATGACTGCAGAAAAAGGAAATAAAATATTTTCCACTAACTCTTAATAGCCAGGCCCAGAAAAAGAAATGTGTTCAAAATGCCAAATATAAGTATTCTAAATACCTAACTCTGAGAATTTGAGTACAGACATATATACAGTTTGAAAAAGAATTTATTGATACAATAAAATTCCACATTAAAAAAATTTTAAATTTACAAATCTCTCACACTGACATGTCCTCAATTTAAATTCAAGTAGTTCACAGGATTTACAAGGTAAATTTTTTCAGAAGACAGAGAAGTTTTACCATTATAACAAAAATGTTACCTGAGGGAGGGCACCATAATTCCATATATAACCCTTGTGAGGAAAGATGTTTGCCACATAGCGAAGCTTGCCATCCTTCACATCTTGTTTAATGGGATTCAATGGTTCCTTCGTGGCAATCTAAGCAGATTGTGGGAGCAAAGGGGTGTGGGGCATAAGAAATGGTTAATCCTATATTCAAACATGATTTTTAAATCTGCCATCATCAGACTAAATATTCATATTCCAACTTATTGATCAAAGATAACTTTAAAATAAGTTAAGCTGGTTCTTATTTGTAATTTACTGTTTTGTATTAAACTATCTGGGAAGGAAACGTAGGATAATATATTTAGGCACTCTATTACTTATGAACTCATTATTTTTAACACAAATAATAGATATTATTGAAATGGCAAGAAGATAAGGATTAATCAACTTGCTTTTTGTTACTACTTGAGTTTTCTACCATCAATCTTATAACAAAGATTTTTCACTAAGTGATTTCATTTTAAAGTTACCTTTCAATCATATTCAAATTGCCATGCCAAGGGAAAAAAAAAACACCTATCCTACAAAAGTAAACAAAAAATAATTGAAGCCATGTTTGAATGAATAAACACTGATTAAATTAGGTAGGATCGCACAGGTTCTTGATCCTACACCCAAGTGAGGTAGAGAGTAGCCAAGAATAATAAAACATTGTACCAAAAGCAAAAAGAGCAAAAGAAGAATCTAATTACTTTTTCCTATTAAAATATTAACCGAAAAACCTACTATTTTAGAGAAATCATTCTCCAAATAAAGAATCTGCAAAACATATACTGATAAAACTATCTTAACTTAAACATTTAAAATAATACCTACCTCTACATCCAAAGTTACAGAAGACTTAGATAACTAAGCAAAGTACCACAAATTAAATTTCACTCAGAAATAGCGACCTGACTTAACTGAAGATAAAATGATAAAATTCTGAAAAGCAAAAGGTAAGTTCTTGATAGGTTCACACCATCAAGAAAAATCAAGAAAATATTATTAATTTTAAAAACTAACCAGGGGAACAGCAGATGCTCTTAGAAAATACTCAGAAATCAAGAGTTGGCCAGAAAAACACTTTCACTCCTCTTAGAGTTAAATTTAATCTAAAGGAGAATTAAGTCCTCAGGAACCAAAATTGTCAGCCTCAAATATGCTGCAATTGTGTCTATGAACAAATACATCTCAGAACCTATTTAAGAAAATCTTAAAAGTATTTGCTATTTTCAAAGACACAGGAGTCAAGGAAAATTAAATAAATATGTGTATAACAAAATAGGCAAAAAAGAATATAGTCTCTTTAAAGTGTAAATTCAGCTTTGAATAATATTTTCTTTTTTGAAAATAGATTCAAAGTATGTTTACAAGAATGTTTTCTATTGTCTTCATTATAAAGAAGCTTGTCAACCATCCCAAATTCAAAATATTATGACAAACAACTTGAAACAAAATTTTATATCATTATTAATTATTTCATTTGATGTTAATAGGATATTTCATACCTCCATTTTAGCATTTGTCCACCGAGGTACTTCCACAACCATGTTAAACACATTCTGCAATTTAAAAAAACAACAAAGAAAACATTTTTTTAATGTTGTCATCTTTTATTTTTTCACTTATCTCTTGCATGAGAATGTTTTCTTTTTTTCCTACAAAAAATGTAAAAAGTCTGCATTATATATCTGCCTATGCCTTAAATTCCTACTAAAAAATTAGAGAAGCAGTTGGTTAAAACAGAACAGAATTTAAGCCTGATTGTATTACTTGACCACTACTGCATGGTGTTAGAAGTTAATACATTTCTGGAAATACCTTTTGGTAGGGACAGAATCAGAATGGAGCCGAGAGACGTGTTTCAATTACTTTCCAACTAAAATAGAAGTGAGCGCTGAGTGTCTCACTTTTTTAGTCTATAAAGTAAGTGTGATAATCTCTGTCCTCACCCCACACAAGGCTGTGAAGATCAGTTACATGCTTTAAATGAAAATACACAATTAAGAAATAAAATATTTTGAAAATCATAAAAAAATATTTAAATCCAAGTTAGAATTATCATAATGTAAAATTGAGGCCATCAGTATAGGTAGTTACAAAGCTTACAAAGAGTCACAAAGCCTAGCTTACATTATCTAGTGATCTCTGATTCCCTAAACTTACAGAAGAAACACTGCCTCTTTTTACTGCTTCTGACCTCGTAGAGTACTTGACACTCTAGGTCAGTGGTGACTAACAGTAATGGCCTTACAAAGAAAAAGCCTTAGGGGTTGCCTGGTGGCTCAGTGGCAAAGAATCCGCCTGCCGATGCAGGAGACATGGGTTTGATCCCTAGGCTGGGAAGATCCCATATACCAAGGAGCAAATGAGCCCAGACCCCACAACTGCTGAGCCCAGACCCCACAACTGCTGAGCCTGTGCTCTGGAGCCCAGGAACCGCAACTGCTGAAGCCCATGCCCCCTAAAGCCTGTGCTCCACAACAGGAGGAGCCCCCACAATGAGAAGCCTCCGCACCTCAACTAGAGAGGAGGCCCTGCTCGCTGCAGCTGGAGAAAGCCCAAGCAACAGCAGGAGACAGAGCGCAGCCAAATATAAACAAATAAAATTATTTTTTAAAAAGAGAGAGAGAAAGTCTATGTTGAAAGTTGGCTTGCCTCCCATTCTGATATCAGTAACTAACAACTTATCAAAACAGTCTTCGTCCAAGTGTGGACATGGACCAGGGCTAATCTGCAAGTTGACAGTTACCGGCTCCTTTAGAAACATTGATAACAATTTGACCAAGTAATTTTTATGACTGTCAAACCTATTAATAAGTATTTCGAACTTGAATTAAGTTTTTCTAATAGTTCATTTTGATTGTACTTTTTAAAAGTATCAGTATCAGTTCACAAAAGATTAGAAATAAACAAACCAAAAAACTACCTTTCACCACAGACCATTTTAGAAGCAGTGATTAAATATAGTTATTTTCAACTATGCCACACAGTAAAATCACCTGGAGAGCTGGAATTTATTTTTTTTTTTTAAAGAGATTTCTAGAGCCCCCATCTCCTACATATTTGAATTCAGTGGCTCTGTAGTGAAGCCAGGGCATTGCTTATTTTTAAAAGCTCCTAAGCAATTTTAATATGCAGCCAGAGTTGAGAACCTCTGGTTTAAAGTACTGCTCAACAATATCCCTGGTGGCTCAGATGGTAAAAGCATCTGCCTACAATACAGGAGACCTGGGTTCAGTCCCTGGGTTGGGAAGATCCCCTGGAGGAGGGCATGGCAACTCACTCCAGTACTCTTGCCTGGAAAATCCCATGGACAGAGGAGCCTGGTAGGCTACAGTCCATGGGGTCGCAAAGAGTCAGATACGACTGAGCAACTTCACTTCACTTCACTTCAAACAATATCTGGGGTTTTCTTAGTGAAAGCAGGAAAGCTGCTAACTCAAAGAATGCCATTTACACAATTAAATATAAATCAAGCCACAGAAGTAATGATGGTTTTTAAGTTCTTCTAGATGAGACTGAAGTTTACCATGACAAAACTGCATACTCATAATGAGATAAAGAACAAAGTTGAGAATGCATTCTCAACAACTGCTCCTTAGAAATATGTCTCATATCTATCTTAGCAACCGTATATACAGGCCTGCTGTTAGGTTTCATTTTCCATGCTCTTTCATGAGGTACCCCAACACCTGTTTAAATATGTCTGAAGGAGCTGTTAAAAAGAAAAACCTAAGTAAACGGCAGATGTTCACATAATTTATTCATCCCAGAAAGTCTGGCTCTAGGAGAAGAAGTGCATGCAGATGAATACTCAGAGGCGACACAGAAGACAAAGCTAGTGCCAATCCTTTTATAGAAAGAATGACACCTACCAAAACCCCTCACAGAGACTTGAATTACACCGAGAGAACAATGGATCAGGTTTGAATTGTAAGCCTGCAAACTACGCTCTTCCTCACCATTTGCTCCTGATCACTAGGAGTGTACTTCTAGTCTGCTTTTCTTCTCTCAGGCTAAAATGCACATGACCTGTAATGTTTTAAAGCCAACGTTAGCCTGCTTATTCTAAGATTAATGCTGATTACAAAAAAAAAGTGGCCTGCTGAAATTTATTAGAAAATCACAAAGACACAAGGAGACATGTTTCAAATTCGGAAAGTTGGGTTAGGGACATCTACCCCTTCCTTCAGCTCTTTTTTCTATTTTTTTCCCTTCTATTTTTATTGCAGAAAAAAAAAAAAAAAGGATGAAAAAGCAGTCAGAAGATTTTCTATGTGTGTGCGCTCAGTGTTGTCTGACTCTCTACAACCCCGTGGACTGGAGCTGCCAGGCTCCTCTGTCCACGGGAATTGCCGGGCAAGAATACTGGAGTGGGTTGCCATTTCCTTCCCCAGGGAATCTTCTTGACCCCAGGAATGAAACTCTTGTGTCTCCTGCATTGGCAGGCAGATTCTCTAACACTGCATCATCTATATTCTTGAGGTGTAAAAAAAAAGGAAATAACCCTTCTATCCTCTTTCTAACCCTTAAAATATCAAATAAACTTGGATTTGACATTAAAGCAAAGGCAACAATTGCAAAAATAAACAAGTGGGAACATACTCAAGTAAAAAGCTCTGCACAGCAAAGGCAAAATGAAAAGGCAACCTGTGGAATGGAAGAAAACAGTTGCAAGTCATATATCTGTTAAAGGGTCAATAAGCAAAATATATAAAGAAATCATGTAACTTAACAGCAAAAAAACAATCCATCAAAAATATATGGGCACAGGTCTTAAATACTTTTCCAAAGAAGACATGCAGATGGCCAACATTACTAATCATCAAGGGAAAGAAAGCAAATCGAACTCACAATAAGATACCAGGTCATGCCCATTAGAAAGATTATCATGAAAAAAGATAAGAAATAACAGCATCAGCGAGGATGTAGAGAAAAGGAACCCTTGTCCACTGTTGGTAGAAATGTAAACTGGTACAGCCACAATGGGAAACAGTATGGAGGTTCCTCAAAAAATTGAAAATAGAACTACCACATAACCCAGAAATCCCACTTTTGTATATATATCCAATAAAAAGGAAAACAGGATACTGAAGAGGTACTTATATTCCTATGCCCATTATAGCATTACTCACAATAGTCAAGACACAGAAACAGCCTAAGTGCCGTTCAACAAATGAATGAATGCATTTTTTACATACACAAGGGAATAGTATCAAGTGTAAGAAAGGCCAACATCTTGCCCTTGGTGACAGGATGGGTGAACCTGGAAGGTATTATGCTCACTGACAGAAATCAGACAGAAAAAGACAAATACTGCATGGCACCACTTACAGGTAGAATCTTAAAAAGTTTTAAAAAGCCAAATTCATAGACAGAGAGTAGAAAAGTAGTTGCCACAGCCTGAGGGGTGGGAGAAATAGAAAAGAATTTTAAAAAAATATCTCGAATCAAAAATCAGATAGTCACCAACACACAAACTATGTTCTAAAAATTAAATTTTAAGTTGGTTTCCCTGGTGGCTCAGATGGTAAAGAATCTGCCTGCAATGTGGGAGACCTGGGTTCAACCCCTGGTTTGGGAAGATCCCCTGGAGGAGGGCATGGCACCCCACTCCCGTGTTCTTGCCTGGAGAATCCGACAGAGGAGCCTGGCGGGCTGCAGTCCACGGGGTCACACAGACCAAGCACTACTGAGTGTGCACCATGTACATAAACATATATGTACTCAGGATATACGTACTTAGTATATATATACTCAGTCAACAATTTTTCCCACTGGAACAACTGTTCTCAGGGTCACACTCGAAGTCTCTAGGGACCTATGAAGACTTGAGCCCCTGAATGCCTGTTTATCCATTATGTAAAGCAGTGGTTGGTTCTCAGACTTCAGAGTGCAGAGGATGCCCCGGAACACTTGTTTGGGGCTTTGCAGGTGGCAGAGTGGTAAAGAATCCACTACCCAATGCAGGAGATGCAAGAGACAAGGGTTCGATTTCTGAGTCTGAAAGATTCCCCGGAGAAAGAAACGGCAACGCACTCAGAAATCCCAGATTTCCTCCCAGACAGAGGAGCCCATAGGGGTACAGTCCACGGGTCACAGAGAGTCGGACACAGGGTGACTGAGCAGAGAACACCTGTTAAATGTGAAGACTCCCCAGTCCGCATGGATTTACTAGATATGGAATGGACCAGGAATCTGAAACATTAACAAGTGCCCTAAGCAGTTCCAATGCAGATGGTTTAGGACCATTCTGACAAATATCAGTTTAGTAAAATACAAGATGGGGGGGCAGCCAAAGCTGATAGGAATTCAACAGCCCCACAGCTATGCTTAGAAGGAGATTCAAAGGCTGGGGTCAAAAGTTTCAGCCAGCTGAGACTAGAGGGCAATAAGGTGAGGAAGGGAAAAGAAGGCTAAGGAAGAGGCAGGAAATGTTTCCTGGAATCAGCAAGATAAAAAGGCATCAACAGAAAGAAACAGACATCAGTCAAATGTTCTAGTCCTAAGTCAAGAAAAATTAAAAATTTGATAGGCATATACTTGAAAGATGAATTTAGAATGTATTTATTTAGCACATAGTTGGAATATAGCATATATTCCTGAATCCTAGAATAGTCAGATTCATAAACAGAAAGTAGCACAGTGGTTACCAGGGGCTGCGTGGACGTGGAGTGGAGAGCTACTGCTGAATGGGTCCAGAGTTTCAGTTTGAGAAAATGAAAAAGTTCTAGAGATGGATAGCAGTGATGGTTGTGTAACATGGTAAAGAATTTAATGTCACTGAACTGTACACTTAAAAAGTGTACAATAAATAATATGGTAAATGTCATGTTATATATATTTTCCCATAAGGGAATAAAGTAAAATAGTAATGTTGTCCCTAGCTGCCTTAAACAGAGACTAGAAGAAAAACATCAGGATGCACTCATAAGTTCTGCAAGGGAAAATAATTCAGCATCACTGTACAAATGCGGACTACCGTCAAGGTCTTTAAAAGACAATATTAAGTGATACACACAAATAAAAACCTTTAGATGTACCTCATATTCATCATTTCGTGCTCTTTTTGTAGGAATGCCATTTTCCTATAAAAGAAAAGATGGTTATTAGAGAAATGCAATTCAAAAATACAATGAGGTACCATCTCACACTGGTCAGAATGGCCATCATAATAAAGCCTACAAATAATAAATGCTGGAGAGGGTGTGGAGAAAAGGGATCCCTCTGACACTGCTGGTGGGAATGGAAGCTGGTGCAGCTATTATGGTGAACAGCGTGGAGATTCCTTAAAAGAATGATCCAGCAATCCCATTCCTGAGCATATATTCAGGAAAGACAAAAACTCTAATTTGAAAAGATACTTGGACTCCAATGCTCATAGCAGCACTGTTTATAATAGCCAAGACATGGAAGCAATATAAATGTTCATTGACAGATGAATGGATAAAGAAGATGTTTTATACACATATAATGGAATATCAGTCATAAAAAAGAACAAAATAATGTCATTTGCAGCAACATGGATGGAAATAGAGATTAACATATTAAGTGAAGTATGACAGATGAAGACAAATATCATAAACTATCATTTATATGTGAAATCTAAAAAAATGACACAGAAGAACTTATTTATAAAAACAGAAATATTAGTGCTCGCTTCGGCAGCACATATACTAAAAACAGAAATATTAATAGACTCACATAGAAAACAAATATGATCAACAAAGGGGAAGGCAGGGAGGGAAGAATTGGGAATTTGGGATTAACAGATACACACTACTGGATATAAAATAGATAAACAGCGAGGACCTACTGTATAGCACAGGGAACTATATTCAATACCTTGTAATAACCTATAATGGTAAAGAACCTGAAAAGAATATATGTGTGTGTGTATATATATATATGTATATATATATAAAAAAAACTGAATCACTTTGCTATATACCTGAATCACTGTAAATGAACTATACTTCAATTTTTAAAAGATGCTATTTTTGACTCTAATATTTCATGAAAGAATACAGCTGTACTGACCATAGAGCAATAAAAATATGCCTATAGTATAAACATTCCACCAGAGGTTTCCAGAAACCTGATTCAAAAGAGAATCCACCAAACGCCCAGTACAGTTTTCTCTCCGCATTTGCATCTCCAGTGCATGAGCATCAAAGTGCTACATAAAAAAATTATTAGAAAAGCTAAATCCCTTTCAAGTGTATTTTCCTAGTTTTTATAAAATAAGCAAAGGCTCTGTTCAGTCTTTAAGGAAAGACTGGCAGTTTCCAGTAATCATGCTTAAAACAGTCATTTCATTGTTGAAATGAAACTCCAGGGAGTGTGACTAACAAGCCATGAAAGTACTCGGCTGCGCCTCCTGCCTGTGATTTCCACCAAGGTGTGATTACCAAGTCTCCATCAAGCACTTTTAAATTAAAAGAGCATTATGTGGCGGGTTGGAAAGAAAAATTACACCATTCCCAAATGCTCACACATTATATGTAACTTTTACACACCAAAACAGCTAATGAAGGAAACAAACAGAAAAACAATTATTCCAAGTCAGCTCTGATGCATTATTTCTTTTCCTAAAGTACCACTACCCAAAGTATAAGTTGCAAGAGTTCTAATCATTATGTCTGCGAACAAGGGAAGCCTATTTACACAACCACTGTGTGTATCAATCTCCACAGGCCCAGAATTCATTTGCACAACCTGTTACACTTTGTTCTGCCATATCAATTTTTCATATGCCCAAATCTCATGTTCCCCAAAACCCATCCTCCTAAGGCAGAGTATTATTACTCAGTGGGATGTATGAAGCCCATTGTTTGTTCCACTTACACCCTGACCTACCTCACAATTCCTCCCTCTAATACTATTATCACTGCTACTGCTATTAGGTATAGAGACTGTCACAGTTCACCGCCCCCCCACAGGAAGCAGCACCCACTAGTCACTCCTACCTTCACTGCTCACTTCTAGTTTTCTAGCACCTTTGTTTGACTAGTATTTGTTTGACTTGTTTATTTTTAGGTTGTTAGTTTCCTCTGGCGGAGAGGGAACTAGATTCACCTTATTCACCACTGCAACTCTAGTGCTTAGAATACTGTCTGACTCATAGTAACCATGCAATAACTGCTTACTGAATGAACAAATTAATTAACAAATAAATGGATGAATGTACCTTCTTTAAGCCAAAATCAAAGAGAGTGGTTGGGAGATGTGAGGTACCTAGGTTGGACAGCTCACTGGCCAAAACAAGACACATGAACACACACACACACACACACACTCAGAGACACACACAGGACTATAGAGTTCTTTATGCTCTCTCACCGGTTTCTTTCTCTCTCCAGATTACATGACTCCTTGTCCTGTAGCTGAATACTACTCAGAAGTAGTGAGCTAGAAGGATTACACAAGAGCAGCTAAGATACAGACTTTGTTGAGGATGCTGCTGAACGTCCTCTTCCTTGGATGTCTCTGGGATAATTATTTATGAAAAATTTTATAGACATTATAGGAAATGACTATAGTTTTAAATGTGTTTGTAAATAATAGTTTAGAATAAAATACCTTTCCTTTTGCTTACTATATCAAGACACCATTGTCTATTGTCTTCTTGACTTCACACCTGCTATTATTTAAAATAAAACCCGAAGAAACATTAAAAAAAAAAAAAATTACAGTCTGGAGTTATAGCACCTATGTTCAAATCTCATCTCCACAGACCAGATTTGTGACCATGGGCAAGGTACTTCACTTCATTAGCAAAATAAAAATGATAACAGTGGCCCTGGACGTACTGAAATGACGCAAGTCAAGCTCTGAGCACAGTGCCTGGCTAAGCACTCGGAGCACTCGGTAACTCTTGGCTCTCGTCGCCCCATTCTCATTGCTATGGACAGTCCCACCCTGTGAAGACCTGCGAGGCAGCATAAATCCTATTCCCAAGCTCCGGAAGTTTACTGTGACCCCTGACAGTCGGCCCCTGGGGTAACACCAGAAAGGTCAGACCAGACTTGCAGCGGCAGCAGCTTTCCACTTCTTCCCTGGTCTCTGCTCCACACTGATCCCACCACGGTTCTGGAAAACCCAACCCCACTAACCAGCCCCACGGAATCTCACCCTGGAATGTAGTTCTGGTTACTGAAAAACGTGGTAATGAAAACAGCCAGTTAACTACTTGGATCTCACTGAAAGAACTGCCAAGGCTGCGGTGACAACTGAAGTCCACCACCAATGATGCCATCTCTCCAGCTAGTCAGGAGAGCCCTAGGAACGCTCCAATATTCTGAGCCCCTCTTAGTTCCACCTTCAGCAGATTGCCCTCCAGCCTGACTTACATCCCTTCTACCCTCCCACCTCTCAAGTAATTTCAGGTTCTAAAAGAATAGCTATTCAAAGACTCCCATTTTTCCAACTGTACCTTTCTAGCATCTGTCTTGTAGAGTGGTTAAAGAGCATGAACTCTGTGGTCAGAAATGCTAAATCAAAACCTTGTTCTGTCACTCACCAGCTATGTGACCTTAGACAGTCAAAGTGTCCAAGTCAAGGACACTTCAGCTCCAGTGTCCTTGGAGATGATAACAGCAACTTGTAAGGATTAAATAAAATGGCATATGTTGACACGGTGGCTAGCAAACAGAAGATAATCCACAAATGTTACTATTTTATTATTACTAATACCACTACTGCTCTTATTAAAAATAAGCCTCTTGTCAACCTCCCAAATTCTTAACCTTAGATTTTTATTTGCTACCAAATTCTAAGTGTCATAGGCTACTACTAACACTTCTTTCTTCCCAAGTTCTGGAAGAAACCCATTCTTATCCAAACTCTAATTCATAAAGAAGGCTTATAATCCTGTTACAATGATAACTGATGCTAATTCTCCTCTGCCCTTCTTGACTGCCAACCACAACTTTTCTTTTTGAGATGCTTTCAAAAAGAATCTTACGGTGATACTAGAAGTATATATTTTCATGCACTAAACAAGTTAAAACAATACCTCTTCAGAGTCCACCTTCAGAGGAATATCATGAAAGGGGGAAATGTAGTGACCAGCTACATTCTCTGCAAAGGAAAACAAACAAAAACACAGAATTAAAGCAATGAACTAGCTTACTCTTTAGAGCAATTATACTCTTACCCACTTTTAAATTTTGAACAAGCTGTTAATGTTTTTTCAAAATTATCTTTAACTCCCAATTTAAGATTTAATTCAACTTTTAAAACTTGCTCTAGTCTGATGACCAAGGAGAACAACGGTAGTCTTCCCTTATCTTTGGGGGTTGCCTTCCAAGACCCCAATTGATGCCTGAAAGTGTTGACAGTACCAAACCCCACATAGGTTTTTTTTTTTTCTATACACACCTACATATGATAAAGTTTAATTTACAAATTAGGCATAGTAAGAGAATATCCAAATTGCCAGCATCATTATGCTTTGGAGCCATTATTAAGTAAAATAAGCGTTACCTGAACACAAGCTCTGTCTGGGCAGTTGGTCTGAAAACCAAGACATCTACCTACTAAGGATGAACAAAGGGATGACTCATGCCCAGGACAGGGACAAAGCAGACAGCACCAGACTTCATCATGCTACTCAGAACACAGTGGCACGCAATTTTACACTTAATTGTGAAAAGCAAAACCGCAAATAAGGGGGACTGCTGTACACACCAAATCAACTGTATCTGGGCTGCTGAAACCATTCACTTATCCCTGTGGCTTAAATATCCAGAGTAAAAAGTGTATAAATTAGACTAAAACCACAAATATGAAAAAATCTTACTTTCAAAAAGAGGCTCATGAATAGGTGAACTGGGTTAAAAGTGATGTCAATTTTCCCAAGAGAAACCTAACAACATAATTCCTCATTTCTGCCTACAACCCACATGAAACAAGGATTAAAAGTCTTACCAAATTAAAAGAAACAAGTCATTTGTTCCACTCAGAGTGATAAGGATGCTAATATTAAGGTAAGCTTAAAACAAAAACAAACTTCAATAACCAAAACTATTTTATCCTCACTGCATACTGAAATATATATGTAAAATATATCTAAAAGTATATATTATTTAAATAAAATATGAATGCATACTTTTATTGGAATGTGTGTTTCCAAAAGCTGGGCTTAATATGGCCATAGAAAATTTTCACTTTGTAATTTCCAAAGTCAAGGTATGTACTACTTCTGGCCTGTTACTTCTTTGGTATAACTTTCAAATTTAGACTTTTAAAATATTTTGATAAACAAATTAAGGACTGGCAAACACTCCAGTAGCAACGAGTATACAGAACACCCAAATCTTGGTTTCTAAATTCCATTCTCCAATGAAAAGAACTGCGGTTTCTTGAAGAAGGGGCTTATTCTACACCTTGGGCAAAGAAAATACAAGATGAGCTTGGAATGTTCTGGAGTACCAGAAAGTGACCAAGTGCTCAAAAAAGCAAAAAGTTATGGGTATGTCAATGGAGAAGGAAATGGCGACCCACTCCATTATTCTTGTCTGGAGAATTCCACGGACAAAGGAGCCTGGTGGGCTATAGTCCATGGGGTTGCAAAGAGTCAGACATGACTGAGCAACTCTCACTCACTCACAGGCATATCAAAGGGAAAAGGAGGCAACCTGAAAGAGCTCCCAAAGGCCAAAGCTGGAGCAAGTTGAGTAACAAAATAAGTAACGGTTACGGGCAAACCTTGGAGACACTGCGGGCTTGGTTCCAGACCACTGTTAGTAAGGCGAATAACACAATGAGGAAAGTCACACAAATTTTTGATTTCCTAATGTACATAAAAGTTATGTTTACACTACATTTAGTCTAGGAAGCGTGCAATAGCATTATATCTAAAAAAGCAATTCATACATTAAAAAAAATACATTATTGATAAAAAAAAAATAGCTAACCATCATCTGAGTCTTCAATGAATTGTACTGGTAACGCCAAAGATCATCAATCACATATCACCATAGCAAATATTATAATAATGAAACTTTCAAACATTTCAAGAACTATCAAAATGTGAGACAGAGGCACCAAGTGCGTAAACGCTTCTGTGAAATTGGCATGGGCAGACTTGCCTGACACGGGGCTGCCATAAAACTATTCGTAAAAAGTTCAGGATCTTCAAAGTACAACAAAGGAAAGGACAACCAAATGAGGTATGCCTGTAATGAATTATAATCCAAAGTATACAATAAATATACATGATCCATAGTAAAACAAATAAATGATTGTATAAATAAATAAAGATGACAGAAGAGACTAATCTTCCTTTCAGAAAAATCCTAAACAACATATGTAGATGTTTCCCCTCCAAAAAAGTAAAGCTTACCCTATTCCTCAAGTGTGGACCAGACTTAGTGACTTGTTTCCAAAGAACAGAGTGTGGAAGGGGAAAAACATTTCTGCAGAGAAACCTGATGATCAGTATCCTTAACCAAGCGATCAAGGCTAACATCACCAGTGGACAAGTCGTGTTCATAGCACGGATCCCCTGATACACCGAGATAAAGGTACTTCACTTCTGCCATGTTCTTCCCCCAAACCCGTAATTCCAGTCTCGTCATGAAAAAGACTGGATACACCCAAACTGAGGGACATTCTACAAAATACCTAACCAATACTCTTCAGAAGTCTCAAGGTCATCAAGAAACAAACTTAGGAAAGGAATGACTGAGAAGTTGTCAGACTAGAGGAAACTAAGGTAATATAATGCCTAAGAGGAATGTGGCACCCTGAATTGGATCTTGGGACAGAAAAATGACATTAGTGGAAAAATCAGTGACACCCAAATGTTAATAATATGTATCAATGTTGGTTTCTTAGCTTTTGCCAAATGCACAGTGGTAATGAAAGATGTTAATGTTAGGGAACACGGTAAGATATGTACTGAAATTCTGTACAATTGCTGCAACCTTGTTCAATCTAAAATTATTCCAAAATAAAGTTTATTTAAACAAATGAAGAAATACAAACAATGCCTTCAGTCCAATAAAATTAGAAATATGTAACTTAACAATGGCCTACACTCCACCAAAATTTTATTTCCTCTTCTCACGCCGTGTGGGTTTTCCTTACCCTTATCACTAACATTCCTGAAGAAAGAAGACGTTTTGTTGCTGTGTTTGTTTGTTCTATGAGGCTCTCTACTGGATCCTCAGAACCCAGAAAATTTCCCAGCACTTAGTATGCATTCAGTTAATATGTGCTGAGCAAATATCTCTATTACTATTTCATTACTTTGTACAAGCTGCTAATATAATTTACCTTTTCCCACCCTAGCAACAAAGTGACTTATGTATGACCTGATGCACAAACTATGATAAAGATAAGAAAAAGCACACAAGTGGCAAAGGATATAAAACTCTCCCTGAACTGAAGCTCTTTTCCATCAGTTAAAAAGGATGCACCTTAAAAAAAAAACTTCTCTTTCACATACCACATCAAATTTCAAATTCTCTGCCTGATTTTAAAGACATCTATGAGCAACACAAAGAACAGAAAACAATACCTATGGCTGATTCATGTTGAGGTTTGACAGAAAACAACAAAATTCTATAAAGCAATTATCCTTCAATAAAAAAAAAAATTTTTTTAAAAAGAACAGAAAACAAAATTATCAGTTTGCTGCAAGATTACTTACTTTTCTATAAATAACAAGGTTACTTAAGCGGGTCACATTTACATATTTCCTATTAAAATAAAATATAGTGGTGGGGAATTGAATACAATACAGCAACTTTGGAAAATAGTTTGACAGTTTCTTATAAACATATGATCCAGAAATTTTACTATTAAGTACTTAACTAGGAAAAATGAAAACTTTGCTCAAACAAAAACTTCTCAGTGTATGTTTATAGGGGCTTTACTCAACAATCACAAAAACTGGAGGCAACTCAAATATCCCACTGGTAAATGGATAAACAAACTACTAAACCCACACAATGGCAGTCCAGAAGCAGCAGCAATTAGTCCACAATAAAAAATGAACTATTGATACACAAAAGAAAATGGAAAAAATTATAATGCAATTATGCTAAGTGAAAGAAGCTAGATTCAAACAACTCCAATAAGATAACATTTTGGAAAAGGCAAAACTATAGGGATAAAAACCAGACCAGAGGTTGCCAGAGGTTGAGGGGAGACGGTGGAGTTGACTTAAAAGAGGAGCCAGGAGAAAATCTGGGGGAGTGACAGACTGTTCTGTACCAAGGCAGTTTAGAAAAATATAGTACATTTTAACATATAAATAGGAGCACTTACTCCAAATAACAATCACCCACCCGCAATTCTTTTCTCTACTTTAAGTCAGAAAGATAAGGTAGAATTCTGAACAAAAGAGATTAGCACATTACTACAGGTTGTGACATTTGCAACCTATCACTGATGGAAATTAACAACCTCAGCTCTAAGAATTCAGGAAGTCCTACAAACCAGGAAAGTTTGTTATTAAACTTAATGAAGTATAGGAAACTCTACAGAATAGCTGGGTTACCTGGAATTAAATAAGACTAAATGATACCTCTAGCACGCTGACTTGCTGGTAAGTTTCCCTAAAGCTCTTGTTAACTGGGGACAAGTCTCAACAAATATTAAGAGGTAAGGGAAATATGAGCTACTCAAGTATGAGGGGAAATAGGGCTAGACTGTGATCACTAAAAGCTAAAGATCTGTGAGAAGTGTTCTTTGACATCTACCACTTCAAACTGGGATCTAAATATATTCAAACACTAAGGCAGTGCCAACACACATTAAAATAATTTTCTAATTGCCATTCTGGAAGGCAAAAAGAATATAAAGGTAAATGAATGGTTTGACTCAGATAACCAAACCTACTAGAAGCCATTTGGGTCATGAAATAGTGTAAATAAAACATAATAATAAAGAAAAAAAAGGAAAATGTCTGGGAAAATAAAATAGTGCCTTAGATCTCTGATAATTATAATGCTTTGATGGGCATAATACTGATAAATTTGTACAGGAGCAATGAATATAGAGGGCAAGAGGCTGCCTTGTAGTTGCTGAGTTTGATAAAGTCACTCAATTTCTCTGACACTTAATTTTCT